TATATACGAATCCATATATTCAAAGATTTAAGAATGGATATAATTTTAGCACTTATTGCCAATGCGTACTTCATAATGTGGCCAAATTCTATAATGTACCTTGTTACGTCTCGTCAATCAGCGCAACGATGATTGCTAATTCGCGTTTAATGACTGATTGGGGAAATCGTCGAAACTGGAATCATGCAATTAGAAGTTACTTACCTTTTGTGATCAACAAGGATTTTCCAGGATTTCAGCTCGCTTCTGTAAGTAGAGTTCATGACAAGGGTTGTCCTCATGGATGTTCAGTGGAGGAAATCAGGGGCAGATAATAATAACGGGCATCACTTGATACTCAAATATCGTCCTCAGTGATGATCGGTCGAAGAAAGCTTCGTATGCGACATGAGAAACATAGTCAGTTCCCAGGATGAAAGACAGATTGAGCACCATTGCTATTTGTAGATTGTATAGTAGTCGACGTATGACCTGGTTACAACCATCGGGGGTTTTTGACATTGTTGGGAAATTTTGTTGAAGTAGATTATGGAGGTTTGATATTGATTGGTTTCCATCCACACAATCTCAAGCACTACAATGTGACGCGTGCAAGCGATACTGAGAGGCACGGATTAGGAACCAATCTCGGGCATTGTTTCCCGGGGTTAAGCAGTGCGCGCGTAACGCACATTTACCCCCCGTGGTGAATCACAAAAGTCGTTTTATTTAATATTTATCCCGACTAAGGAAACATTTTACGTTGTTAATGAATATAGTTGCGCTAAGAAAGGACTTAGGAGAGGTGCGAAAGAATTATTTTTTTAGATTTTAGTAAATTACTGTATTATATCAAGATCGGATGAGGCCGTTTGATCACGTTGCAATTGACCACCAGTCACTCATAGTTTGAATAGAGGAAAACCTCTAGGCACTCGCCATTATGAGTGACTGTGGTCAATCGCAACGTCAAACGGGTTGCTCTGACTTAAGTCTAAGGTTAGGACAAGAGGACTGATTTTACAGGACCGTTCAGATCTAGATTTGCGAATCCAAATGACTGAGCGTGGATACGTATCGAAGTCTGGCGAGTGGGACCCGTTTGACTATGTTGCAATTGACCATCAGCCACTCATAGCGTTTGAACAGAGGAAAATTTCTAAGCACCGGCCACTGTGAGTGGCTGTGGTCAATCGCAATGTGGTCAAACGGGACGCTCCCGTCCTTGACTGGAATCTGCTCATGGTCGATAGTAGAACGCTCGACGGCACTGGAATGGAGGTCGACTGTTGTCGACGCTCGGTCATAGGTCGGTATTCATAATGCGTTCTTATATTATTTTAAGTTAGTTCTCAGATTATCTTAAGATCATGTTCAATGAAATGAACGTATTACATCTCGAATTCATACTTAAGTTGATCTTAAATATGAGAACTGACTTTGAATACCGGTCATAGTCAGTTCTTGCTTCTTGTCCAGTGATTGCTTCTCGACTAGAGGTTGGGAGCAATTCAAACACTCGAAATTTACGAACTGTAGTTCGTCAAACATAATGTGAGTTAAAGTAATTATAGATTAAAGAATTGTCTATAATTAAAAATTTTACAAGGCACGATCTGCACAAGAGAGTGTTTCCCTCGGGTTGAATATAATCTTTCAGATGAGATTCTGCCTAAGCTAACTGACTTTCCCTAATCTATATTTTATACGCAAAGTGCATACGTGGTACGCCAAAGGGCCTTATTGGCGATTGGAAGGCTCGAGAGCGAATGCTCCACGGCAATCCAACCACTTTTTACTTTTTCGGTTTTGCTATTTTTTAAATATTTTTTTATTTTAGCGACTTAGAAAATTTTTATGACTGTACTACATATTAATTTGCTTGATCGACAAGTAGCGTGACTGACGGGCAGGCTGTGAAGACTATTACTTATGTCGAGTATAAATTTCATTTTATATATTATAGTTCTCGTAGGAATGAGGGGACTTATTAGCGCTTTCCTAGATAAAAATCTTCGATTTTATGTACACGACTTGTGAACATTAGATCTCAAAGAATTTACAGCTTTAGGTTTGAAAAAATAATGGGACGTCATAGCAAGATTTGCTGATTATACATCTAATAATTTCATTTATATTTAAGTATTGCCCTTGATATTTATAAAGAATTTTTGGATCCATAACTAGAAAAAAACATGATTATTAAAATATTTAAGATTATTTAAAGATCTTTTTAAGAACGATGTAATTTTACTTGCGCAACTCTTTATTTCACATTTGTATCTTACATATCAAAGCAGCGGGTGCACTCAGATGGAAAATCAGCTTTGGATTTAACAGACCACTGGATGAAATGTAAAAGGAGATTACAAAATAATTTAACAGGATTAATTAATATAAAAATGAGAGAACGTAATAATGAAATATCAAAAAATTTTTCGAAGGCAAAACATATCTTCTTAAACGATCTGAAATATCATACATTTCTTACGTAAAACGTGTTGTTTTCCAACAATTAGGAAAATAATCTCTAGAGAAACAGTTAGATTTCAATCGAATTGAAATCGTAGAAGTATGTGATAAATACCAGAGCTCCAATAATTTCAAAACAGTTTTGGAATGAATCCAATATGTAAGTGTATGTCCGCAGAGGGAACATATAAGATATCCGAGAGCACGAACTTCAAACCGCTCCACCGCCAGATTGGCAAAATAATATATTGGTGGAATAATTCGCTAAATCCGTATATCACTGATAATATCTGGAGGACCGCGACTTAACTTGCGAATACGTATTGCGCATAATTTATTATCACGTCGATATTCCGGTCACTTATATTAGAATGCTATGGTAAAATATAAGCAGTAATCCAGTAGCGCACATTTGCGCCGGCTCTCTATACAAACCCAACACTTACATACCTGATTCTCTATCTTAAGTTTTCGCTTGGTCACTTTTCTGTCATAATATCGTTTTGATCTGGAGTGACGGCGTTTAGGTTTTCTCGTTTCTCTCGTTTGCGCTTGCGATATTTTATAGTACAAGGCTATTAGGTAGTTAGCGTAGCTTTCATTTTGTTCATCGCTCGGTGTTGGATTGATAAGAAATCCTAACTAGTTTACCGTATGCTTCATGCGGAGTAAATCGAGTTGCTTGTATTATAAGAAAAGCTAGTCAGTTTGAGGCATTTATTTCATACATTTTATTTAGTCACAAATTGTTTTAGATACAATACATGATGGGATCTCGATTGATCTGTTTGATTGAGGACGACGCAGTTGTCGTATATTGTTTTGTGGGAATGTCACCAATGTAGTGGTTGTTGCCTATGCGGGTTGTCACCCGATGCGTGTTGTCGATGTGGTTGATTGTGATGGTAGTTGTGATGTCTGAACGGATTTGATGAAACCAACTCGTTGTACCTCCCTGCACGCCCCGTCAGTCCACGCTCAGGCGAAGCGGAAAATGACGGCGGGTTCGAGAAAAAAATGAAGGTTGTCGTGCAGGTTCCCAAGATTTAAATGAGGCGATCTTTAAATGTTCATTGTATATATTCTACATATAACTACAAAAAAGAACGGAGATATCATGGGCGTGACGCGGGAGTTTGCGTGCCCCGTGTGTTTGGCGTGCGGCTTGATGTGACGGAATCGCGTGGCTCTTCGCGGAAGCGCTGTGCTCGCCTTTCGCGAGCACCAGACGGTTTTCTTTGCGTTTATTGTGAGCCCATTTTGCAAAAAGGCGGCATGAAGTCGCGTCAAATTCTCCTGCAGTCCGATAAGTAGAGGACAGGAGCACAATATCGTCTGCGTAGCCTAATGCATTGATCAGCCTCGATTCCAGTCTATAACCAACATCCTCCGAGAGAATTCCCAGTGCCCGATTTACGACCAGATTGAACAGCAGGGGATCAGGGGGCAGCGGATCACCCTCTCACACCACGTTCCACGTGAATGGGCGACATCCTTAGGCCATCAGCCGGCTGCAACACAATCCGTGCCTCTATGTATATGGCCCTGACATAATCGCGAAATTCCCTCGGGAGACCAAGCTCCTCGAGGGTGCGATGAATCACAGCGTGTGATACCGTGTCGAAGGCTTTCGACAGGTCCACGCATGCGACATGTAGCGACTTACACCGCTTCCGGGCGTCGCCGAGCACGGAGGAGAGCAGTGATGTTCTCACATACTCCGTCCACCGGCCGGAAACCCCTTTGGCGGTTGTCGAAAATGTCCAGGGCCGCCAGACGTTTTGCTAGGATCTTATGCAGATGTCTTATAATCACGGAGCCTATACTCAGGGGTCGATACTCCGATGGCCCAAGCCTATCGGACATCCCGCCCTTTTCTAGGAACACCGTTCTAGTCGTGGTGATCGACAAGGGTGCCGTCTCTGCCAAGAGCAGCAGATTGAAAACAAGCGCGCGAAGGTTCACTGGAACAGCGTTCCAAGCCCTCGGCGTAATGCCATCCAATCCAGTGCCATTCCTTACGGAGATCCTCGCAACCTCGGTCGCTAGAATAGGATCCCAGAGCGAGGTCTTATCCGCCGCTGAACCTGGGTTCGCGGCGGCGCCCTCATCGAGGCCCTCCAGATGTATACCTCGTGATGGATGGCTCCGGCTGGCACCCGCCTCCTGCGTCGCCTCTCCGTATAACTCGCGCAGCGCCGTCATATCTCCATCCGCAACACTAGACGCCTCTATAAGGAGACGCCAGTAATCACAGAATTCGACAGCGGACGGACGCGTACGCTCAGAGCCGTCTTCGAGTATGTGCGACAAGCAGGATTTAAGGTTTTTCTTATACAGGATTTGCACTTGTGCATATTCCCTTTTCTTTCTTTGCTCTCTGTTCTCTCGCTTCTTAGGATGCCCACGCTCTCTAGTCGGTTCACGCCGTGGAGAGTGCACACTCGGTGGCGGGAAGATTCTCTCCAGCCATCTCTCGATGGCATGAATGTCCACCTCCCCCACAACAGCATCTCTCGCTATGCCTAGGAGAGTGTCAACCTCGAAACTCCGGAGCGACTCATTCTTAGAGATGAGTCCGCCGATATGCTCCCGGAGTCTCTCAGAGTTCTGCTGAGGTACGGGCTGACGTGCACATGCTTGCTCAACAGGACCAACGTGCGTCTCTGTGATCGTTGGGACACCGGCGGCTCCTATCATCGCCTCATCGGTCCCCGTGCCCTCATCGTCCTCCGCAAGCGGATGGACATCATGGCAGAACTCTCTAACCATCGCTCGATAAGCCTCTTGTCGACGCTTATCTTTGATGGCTTCAAGTGTCTTATGAGGGAATCTCTGTTGCAGGTGGTTCATAAAGAGAATTCCCCCTGCTGAGGCGGCTGCTGCCTCAGCCCGAGTCATGAGACGCGTCTCCTCCACAGACCATCGCCTTCTGGCGATCGACATCGATCGTGCGGTTGGCTTCAACCGGATGGGCTGACCATACGTGAACCCCTAGGCCACGCATGTTCCGGAACTCTCGACCATATTCACAGACTACAGGCGGATCGCGACTTTCGGTGACCAATCCAGTCGCTGGTGCAGTGTCCGGCGTGCGCCTAATGGCGCCGCTAGACTTCCCGGCACTCACGGGGGCACCACTCGCTCGCAAACTAACACGCAGTGCCCGAGCCATCCGAGAATCCGGGCGTGAGGATCCGTTTTCATACCTATCCATTTTTGACTGCGTGTGGGGATGCAAACGGCTTGGCAACCGAGAGCTCCCCGAAAACCCGCCCTTTCTTGGGCCCCCACAATCTACCATGGGCTGGGCACATGGGCTCGCAAGCAAGTCCTTTAGGGCGCACAATCACCATGACACCACTTAGGCGGGATCACTAATGTGATGGGTGCATGACTTGACTGGCAGAGGCTGTGTATGCCGCATGCCGAGTCCAAGTAACCGATTCCGACCCCAGGCCCAAAGTCGCCCGAAGGGAAACAAGAGCACTGAGAGAGCCTGACTCCCTAGGCCGCTAAACCCACTAGGATAGTCCGGTTACTCCCGCATATAGACCGGGCCGGGGCGGATGGTCTGCCCACTAATTCCGGCTCGCCACAACACCATTCAGCTACTCTACGCAAGCGCAGAGCAGCCAGGAGTACGACGAGGAGGTAGATGTGTGATTTGGATGTGAGAGCTAGGGACCTAGCTAGAGGTCTATATTCGCATCACAATCCCAAACTATTTCTTCTCCAACCTTCACGCTGATCTGTTAAACCTCCTCACAGACATCTGTAAACGCGGTTTCCAGGCCGCTAGGATTCACGATTTCAAACGACAAGCCCGCTACACTGGACTTCGTAAAGCCAGGACAGCTGTCAAAGCTTCGCTGCAAGGGCACATCTCCTCAGGATGGCGAGAGTACATGCTTACTCTCAGGCTATATCAGCCTCCCTCGGGCTACTTGCAGTATAGACGCAATAGAGATATCCCGAAGCTCTCGTACGCCTACAATGAGACTCAGGATAAATCGGAGGACTCGTGGCCTCCAGTTAACCCCTGCCCCGACTGAGTTGTCGGTCTATTGTACACAGTCCAGGATAATCCCAGACACCAATGCCTGCTTGGTTACGACAGCGACGATCGGGCCGGGAGACGACTCTCTACTACCCAAGAAAGTCATAATTACTCCCAGCCCCGACGTGGTGGCGAAGGTCCTGGACCTGGGGCGGCGTACTCCGGTGGCGTCTCCGCGATGTGGCTCTCCTCCGATATCGGAGGCAGCGGCTCGATCGGTTGCCTCTCGGCGGGTGTGCCAAGAGTCTCGTCCAACGGCGTGTACGACCGCTGAAGAGAACTCAGGCGAAAGGAGGCACGGCGTGCACGGTCGCGTCATAGGGTAGAGGAAGCCCTCGATGGCGTGCGCGGCCACTGAGGGGGGAATACGACCTATAGTGGTCGGTAACGCCGGCCGTATAAAAAGGGCCGTATAATGACCGCAAGCGGTCAGTCCTCAGTGCTAGCTTAAGCCATGCGCGGGCTCCAGTGTGCACTGAGAGGGTAGTGCCAAACGGTGGTGCTGGCCGCTCTTTATAGCGCTAAAGACGGTTTCCGCGCACGAGTGGATGATCAAACGGTTGGTCATCTCGTGGCGAGCGTGTGGATCACTCCCGTGCGCGGGCCCACTGTGTCGGCGCGCGGCAGCGCGCGCCGGCGCGCTTGTCGGTGGGCCAGAGTGGCGGTGACCGCACAGTTTTATTCTAAATTTACGCGCGATGTTGCGCATTAGGCTATTCAGGAAATGCGTTCCTTTGTCCGTTAGCAAGGCTTTTGATGCGCCGTAAATACAAATGAATTCGTTGGTGAAGGCTTCCGCCACATCCACAGCCGAGATAGTGCTTTAGTTTATACCGAGCACTTGATACGCATACTTGATACTTAGTGGTTAGTGGTTGGTTAGTTGATACTAATTTTTCATTAAACTATCTTAATTTCGGCAATGCATTTAAAGAATGGAATTCAGTTTTTAGAGGAAATGCTAAGGACTATTTGATTAATAAGTTTTAAATAGTGAGCATGTAGGAATTTCCGGTTTTCGTGGAGGGTGGAGGACTCATTATATCCATTGATATTTTGTCAAAAGCATTGTCGGGTATGTTAGTATTGTTACGTCTCACGCGGCGCGTTATCCAACTTCCCGTTGCGATATTCGAAATAATCTTTTAGTCTTAATTCTTGCTGGACATAATAACTTCGAATCGATGTGATAACTGGAAACATCTAGTTGCGAGAAACCCAATGTTACCCGACTCCTCGTATCTCAATCGAGAAATTAATGTCGCTCTCTATTTATTTCGAGGCTATCTATGTGGGAATATCCCTGGGAAGCCGAGAGCTAAGGGCGATGCAAGGAACGATTTATGACA